AAAGAGCTTCAAAAAGAGTGAGTGGTCCCAAGAGGCTAATGCTGTTGAGTGATCATGCAAGATGCCCACTGGACATAGGACCAGGCATGGTAGTCAGTCACTGGTGGCTGTGGAGAAAGCTTTTCCAATAGAGCATAGGGGCAGATTGGAAGCAGAGCAGTGGCTTAGTTGAAAAGAGGTGACCTTGCTGGTCTGGAACTACTGGGGATATGCTCTAGTACTAGAGTGGCCCAAAGCTGGTGCCTACTAAGGGGTGAAGCAACCAAGCCCCCAAAGTGGGATACCATCTTGGGACCTGAACCTTTTTCAGCTCTCATGAATCAGGTGAATGAGTGGATGGCTTTGGAGCACTGTCAGGCCTGTACATCTGTCCTTCCCCCACCTGCGTCTGTGGGCCTGCCTGCAGGGAATGCAACAAACCCAGGGAGGACGATGGAACTAGGGATCCCCAGGCCCCTACCCCCAGCATGAGATGGCAGAGAGCAGGAAACCTCCCGGGGAGACTAAGCTTAGGGCACCACAAAAGGGTGGTGGCACACGGCTTGGTGCCTGTGGCTCAAGTGGCTAAGGCGCCAGCCACATATACCTAAGGTGGTGGGTTCGAATCCAGCCCAGGACTGCCAAAACAACAATCATGGCTGCAACCAAAAAATAGCCAGGCGTTGTGGCGGGCGCCTGTGGTCCCAGCTACTTGGGAGGCTAAGGCAGGAGACTCGCTTGAGCCCCAGGAGTTGGAGGTTGCTGTGAGCTGTGAAGCTATAGCACTCTACCCAGGGTGACAGCTTGAGCCAGTGTCTCAAAAAAAAAAAAAAAAAAAAGGGTGGTGGCACAAAGATGAGAAAAAATATTGGGGGGCAGCACTTGTGGCTCAGGAGTAGGGTACCAGCCCCATATACCAGGGGTCGCGGGTTCAAGCCTGGCCCTGGCCAAAACTGCAAAAAAAAAAAAAAAAAAGAAAGAAAGAAAAAGAAAAAATATTTAAAAAGAATGTGAAATTTCATATATATATTTTTCTCCAGCTTTATTGAAGTATAACTGACAAATAAAAATTGTATAAACTTAAAGTGCACAATACCATCATTTGACATAGGTACACATTGTGAAGTGATTACCACAATCAAGTTAATTAACACACCCATCACCTCATGTAGTTACCTTTTGTGTGTGCATGTAGGTAGTGAGAATAATTAGAATAAGAACAATCAAAGCTTAAATATACAATACAGTATTGTATTGTACATTAACTATAGCTGCCTGCTGCACATTAGATCCCCAGAACTTACTCATCTTAAAACTGGAAGTTTGTTCGTGTTGACCAACATCTCATTCCCCTCATCCCCAACCTGTGGCAACCACTGTTCTGTTTTCTACATCTATGAGTTCAGCTTATTCCACATATGTATAAAAGAGATCATATAGTATCTGTCTTTCCGTGTTTGGCTTATTTCACTGCATAATATTCTCCAGGGTCATCTGTGTTGTTGCAAACAGGATGATTTCCTTTTTATGACTGAATAATATTCTCTGTGTGTGTGTGTGTGTGTACCTACATGTATACAACATACACATTGTACTTATACAGGGTGGACATAAAGTTCATGCGCAAGTTAGAATAGTCAACATAACAAATTGCACACAAATTTTATGGACACCCTGGATATATAACGCTTTCTTTTTTTTTTTTTTCTTTTTTTTCTTTTTGCAGTTTTTGGCCGGGGCTGAGTTTGAACCCATCACTTCCCGTACATGGGGCCAGCGCTCCACTTCTTGAGCCATAGGCGCCACCCTATGATGCTTTATCTACTCATTTGTCAACAGACACATTGTTGGTTCTATATTTGGCTATTGTGAATTAATGCTGCAATGAACATAGGAGTACAGATGTCTCTGAGATACTGATTTTGTTTCCTTTAGCTAGTGGGATCGATTGCTGGATTGTATGGTCGTTTTATTTTTATGAGGAACTTTCATACTGTTTTTCATATTGACTGCACCAATTGACATTCCCACTGACACTGTACAAGGTTTCCCTTTTCTCTACACCCTGGGCAACACTTGTTATCTCTTGTCTTTTTTTTTTTTTTTTTTTTTTGAGACAAAGCCTCAAGCTGTTCCCCTGGCTAGAGTGCCGTGGCATTACAGCTCACAGTAACCTCCAACTCCTGGGCTCAAGCGAGTCTCCTGCCTCCACCTCCCAAGTAGCTGGGATTATAGGCACCCGCCACAACGCCCGGCTGTTTTTTGGTTGCAGCCATTATCGTTGTTTGGCGGGTCCGGGCTGGATTTGAACCCGCCAGCTGAGGTGTATGTGGCGGGCGCCTTAGCCTTTTGAGCCACAGGAGTGGAGCCATCTCTTTTGTCTTTTTGACAGTAGCTGTCCTAACTGGTGTGAGACAATATCTCACTGTGGTTCTGATTCGCATTTCCCTGATGACTGGGGATCCTGAGCTCCTTTTCATATTTCTGTTGGCCATTTGCATGTGTATGTCTTTTTTTGGAAAATGTCTACTTAGGTCCTTTTGCCCATTTTTAAATTGAGTTATTTGTTTTTTTGCTATTGAGTTGTTTGAGTTCCTCATACATATATTTTGGAGATTAACTCCTTATAAGGTACATGGTTTGCAAATACATAATGAACTTTATGGCCACCCTGTATTTTATTCCATACCATAGGCTGCCTTTTCATTTTGTGGATTGTTTGCACATTAGATCCCCGGACTTACTCATCTTAAAGCTGGAAGTTTGTTCCTTTTGACCAATATCTCCTTGTTTCTCTCATCCCCGGCCCCCACCCCCAAATTTTTAGTTTGATGCAGTTCCACTTGTTCATGTTACTTTTGTTGCCTAGACTTCTGGTGTCATATTCAAAAACTCATTACTAATTGGTCGCAAAAACCATATAAAGGGGCCTTTCCCCTATGTTTTGTTCTAGGAGTTTCAGGTCTTACATTTAAGTTTTTAGAAATATATGAATATATACGTACATTTAAAAGCATTGAAATATTCATTGCAAGCAAAATGAGAACTTTAATGGACTTTCTTATGTTTATGGCATGCTTTGTCACTGTGTATTTGTAATCAGACATACAGGGACATCAAATTCTTTGCTGGGTCTGCAGCCTCTAAGGCTCTGGGTCCTTCCTCGGGGCTCCTGCCTGGGGCTGGGGGCCAGGACTGAAAGCCCCAACAGCTGGGCCTTCCTTCTCAGAAGCCCTCCCTTCTTTCATTTGCATCTCATTAGCACCAGCTTGAGCTGGTGGCAGCTCTGCCTAGAGCCCTGGGACGCAGGCTGCAGCCTGGCCTGGCCGGCTAGCGGTGGAGAAGCATGTAGCGAGGCGCCCTTTCTCCCCCTCCCGGCGCCCTCCGTGCCACAGTCTCTCCCGCCCCACGCGCCACAGCAGTTGGAAGGGCGCGGGCGGACTCCGGTGTGCCCGGCCCCCACTCCCAGGCTTAGGTCTCCTAGGCTCCAGCTGCGCGTTCCTATAGCAACGGGGTGATGCGGCGGGTCGCAGTGCCTGCCGAGGAGCAAGCAAGACTGCCACCCAGCTCCCCGCCCCACCGTCCGGGCTGGATTGGTGACAAGCAGGGGCCTCAATCTCCCGAGATGATCAGCGATAATTGGTTTATGGAAATAGCTGAGGGGAGAAAGCAGCTCCCTGCTAGAAACCAGCCTCCCTGCCAAGCCCTCTCCCTGCCACCTGTTCTCTCACCACCGAAATGGGGCTGGGGGAGGGGAGGGGAGGACTCGGGAGCTGGGCTGGTGCAAATGGGCTTTTGAGGGGAGTGTTTCACCTGTTGGTCTCCAGCAAGGCATCTGTCCCCTTTCAGTGTGTGTGTGTGTGGGGGGGGGGGGGACGGGACAGAAGCTTGTTGTCACAGAGACAGGTGTTTGCCTCAGCTACTCTTTGTCCCCTAAGTCTGTACTCAGGTCTATGTTGGGTGCCTTGTTGGAGAAGTGGAGGAGACCTGCCTGGGATTGTCCTCAGTCTGGGGGCCAGAAGAGGAGCACATAGCCATACTTTATAAAAGGTACTTATTTCAAACCACTGCTGTGGGCTCCAGTGGAGAGAGTTCAACTCTGGTGGCTGCTTGGAGGAGGTATCATGAGCAAGACTTTGAAGAAGGGGGGATTTTAACAGGTCTTGGTGAGACAGCTGGGGAAGGAAATGGGTCCCTAAAGGAAATGTGGGCAATGCTGGTTTGGGTGGAGAAGGGGATGTATAGGGAACCTTGGTGGGAAGTTGCAGTGACTTCCAATGTCTACAGAGGGGATTTAAGGAACGACAAGCTCCTTGGAGGAGGTTACGAGATAGTGCTTTACAATAAAGATTGAGCTAGTTTCCAACATCTATAGTGAAGGGTGGCTGGATGAGACTGTGCTGCCCCTTAGTGCCCTCCAGGAAGAAGTGGGGGGAGCAGCAGACATGGCATGGCAGGCCTTGGTACCAGGCTGAGAGGCGTATGGCAGCTGAGACAGTAGCAGGCTGGTGGGGGCACATGGGATGCATTGAAGGAACAGAATTCGGGAAGCCTCCATGATAAAAATGACTGGGAGGATGTCGGGTAGGGGAGGGCAGTTGTGAGGAGCTGACCCTAGGGCTAGACACGGTGGGGTGGGGCACCCAGAGGCCAGGAGAGGCAGGCCCCCAGTTGTCTCCTTCCTCTGGCCATCACTCCTCACTGAGCTCAGTCCAGGCTTCTGCATTCAAGGGCCTGTCCTTTTAGGGTCGAGTTGTGGCCAAGCCTTACCCAATTGGTGTGAGATAGAGGGGTGGCTCTCTGGACCCTTTAGTACCCTTCTGTTCTCAGCCCTGGTGAGCAGCTTCTCATGTAGCAGGGAAGATGCCAGGCCTCTATTTGTAAACCCATAGCTCCTGTCTGTGTCATGCTTGGCTCTTCCCCTCTGGGTATCATTGTCTTAGTCCTGGACCTTTGGGTGCTCATATTGTAAAAGCCATCCCCTATGAATCTCCTGCCCTCACTCTCACCCAGCTACTTACGCCACCACATAGGGCCATGGTTCAGAGCCATCCTTGCAGGTGGGTAGATTGGTGGCCCCGTGGACGGTGATCATGATGGTCTCCTTATTAGAGGGAGACAGGTGGCTGATCTCAGACTCTGTACTCTCAGAGATGTCCGCGGGCTCCTCTGGGTCTTCAGTGTTCTGTGGAGAGACCCTGGATTGAGTAGCCTCTTCCAATGTGGCACCTCTCCTTAATACCATCCCTCCAGCCCCCCTCAGGGTTCCCCTCCAAGTGCCTGTCTTCTTCTGTCATCCTTCCACCCACTCTGGAATGTAGTCAACCTTGACTCCATTTTCTCTGTACCTCTGTTCTCCATCCCAAGTTTCTCTAAGCACCTCTCTGCCTTTTCTCCAGTCTTGGATCCTTCTTGCAGGATGAGACAGGCAACCTCATCTCTCAAGTCCAGTCTGACTTCTAAGCCTTTTCTTTTGCAGATCCCCTTGTCTGTAATTCCTAAATCTCACACCTCTCTTCCAACCCACTAGCAGATCCAGATCATGTCAGCTCCACCTTCAAACCACATCTAAGGTCCAACCCCTTCTCACCTTCTAACTTCACACACTGGAGGCCCCAACACCCCAATGTCCACACTCTTAATTGCTTTCTCTGTTTCCTTTCTGGCTAGGCCTCTGCCCCATCCCAGATAACACAGCTGCCAGGGAGACCCTTCATATTCCAAAGGAATGCAGTAGCTCCCTGCTTCTCTCTGAGCCTTACAGTGACTGGGGAAACCGACTTCATCTTGTCCCACGGCCATTGCTCACTCCACTCCAGCCACACGGGCCTCCTAGCTGTTTCTCACACCCACCAAGCCCCCTCTGGCCTTCCAGCCTTTACCCTGACTATTTCCTCTGCCCGGATACCCTTCTTCAGAGGTCACCCCAGCACTGTCATCTCTGGCTTGCTCCTATCACTTTCTGGTGCACGCTGTCCTCCTTGCCTAATAAGATGACTAATTAGGAGGTGAGAACACCTTCCCAGAAGTGCCAACCCTACAGAGACCCCTCCTCTTCCCCTGATTGAAGAGGTCACCCCTCCCCCCAGGACCCACAGGGCCTGTTACCATCTGCAAAGGTGTTGATGAGAGTTATCCCTCCCCTTTTCCTGTATTCTGCTGCCAGGCAAGAATGGGGGAGGGGGCAGCATCTTCAGAACCACCCCCTCCTTTCCTGGGTCAGGCTCTTCCTAGGATCCTACCTTCACTGTCCACCCCTAACTCTTCCACTCCCCAGCAGTTTCTCTCCCCTGGTTCAGTGGCATAGGAGCAAGACTACCAGAGCCTAGGGAGCCAGAGACCTAGGTTTCAGCCCAGCTCTGCCTCAACTTTGTGCCACCAATTGGGGGCCTCGGTTTCCCCACCTGGCCAACAGGAATGTCTGGAGGGGTTTTTGATGCCTTGCAAGTGGCTAGAGTGCTGGAAGTTCCTACCCTGAGGCTGGGAGTGGTGAATAATGTCACTCTCAGCCCTAGATTGATGCCCCTGTTTCTGTGAGAGCACAGGGCCTGCCATGAGCTCCCTGGGGTCACAGAAGTGAAGGCCTAGAAGCAGGGCCCTGGTCTAAGGGTTCTCACTGACTTCCTGGCAGCCCTGAAGCCGGCTAGGCATCTGCAGGCCAGGCCAGGAGCTGTATCCTCTTCCTCTCTACCTTCTCTGGGCCTCGCCGTGGGAAATAAAGTTTGCAGAGGGTTTGGCGAGAACCACTCCTGCTTCAGCTCTGGGCACCAGGCCAGCTGCCAGGCTGGTGCCTCCTGGTGAGGCCTGCAGGCATGTGCCCACCAGGCAGGCTGGGCCCAGGGCCAGGAAGGCCTGGGGCCAAGGGTGAGGCTGGATTGGGGATGGTGGGCCAGGGCTGCCATCCTTCTGCTTTCCCCCTTTTCCTTCCTCCATCTGGATGGGAATCTGGGAATCTATAGGCTTCCTCAGAGATGCCTGGCATGAGGACCAATATTCCCTGTCCCCTGCCCCTGCATTGGTGGATTTAGGAGGAGTAAATGGTCCATGTGCTGGGTTGTAGGAGGGAGAGTGAAAAGGGGGTAGGGAGTGTAACGCCCCCTAATCCTCAGGACCCACAGACTCATCTGCAGAGGTATAAGGAGCCTGCTGTGAGAGAGAATTCACATTTGTAAAGAGAATTCACATTTGTAACTGTCTCTTCTTGCCCTCTTGGGCTCATTCTCAGTTAACACATCCAACACTGCTATGGTACAGAGATGGGTAGGCAGTGTTTTGAGGCAAGAGACTGGCCAGTTTCTTGGCTGCCCAAGGCCACCAGCAGTGGGTGGCAGGCTGGGGTATGAGCCCTGAAGCCTGCCTGATGGCACAGTGCTACACTCTGTGGTATCTTCCACTGGGTCTGGAGTGCAGACCAGGTCTGCATGGCTAATCTCAAGGCCTTCCCCATCCAGACTGGCAGCCTTGGCCCCCATAGG